CCCTTATAGGATGAACTATAGGCGTGATCTTCTTGCTATTATATTGGGCATATACAAGAAGGTAAAATATTTATGAAATCTTTTATTATACTTCAAGTACTCAAATATTTTAGAAACAAAAATTCATAGAAAATCTTGATTAAATTACTTCTTGAATTTATCTGTCAGATGTTCTGAAATCTCATAGGGTGGATTCTACAGGGAAACGTATGGCTCACAAGATGTTTAAATTACATTTTTTGCTGCCAGCATTTATTTATTTGTTGAGACAGTCTCATTTTGTCACCCTCAGTACAGTGCCATGGTGTCATAGCTCACAGCAACCTCAGACTCCTGCCTGAGTACATCTGATGCCTATCGTTCCATTCTTGCGACACTTAACTCAGAAGAACGTTCTCCAAATCTATCCAAGTTTCAACAAAGGATGCAAAATCCCTGTCTTTTTTTTTTTTTTTCCAGTCGAATAGTATAGATTAAGGCAAACAGGAAATGATTAGGAAGGATTCTCCCTTTCCTTGTGTGTGGCCCAGAGGATACCTTGATTGCAGACTAACAGCCTCCAGAAATACAGTATATTAGCTTTTTTTAAAGCTGAGCTCCTCGTTTGTAGTAATTTATTAGGTAGTTCTCGGAAACTAATATACCATTCAACTATTTAAAAATTTAAAAATGTAATTCTAAGTAAATCAAAGAGAAAATGGTAATGAAAATTACAGTATATTGAGAACTGAATAATAACAAAATTCTGATATCCAAAATTTGTGAAAGTTTGCTCCTAGGGATTGGAAGTCAGGGTCCAGGTTCCCTGAACCCAGTTGAGCTGGTTTGATTACTCTGCTGAGCTAGTAGGTCCACCTGACGTACAGGATAATCAAAAGCAAAAGTGAGTGGAAAGTGATAATAAAACTGGAGTGGCACCTGCAGTGTGGATAGAAAACAAAAGTAACTTGTACAAATTTCAGGGTAATAGAGATTTTCTTTTTTCTTTTTTTTCTGAGACTGAGTCTCACATTGTTGCCCTTGTTAGGTATAGTGCTGTGGCGTCACAGCCCACAGCTACCTCCAACTCTTGGGCTCAAGCAATTCTCTTGCCATAGCCTCCCAAGTAACTGGGACTATAGGCGCCCACCACAACACCCGGCTATTTTTTTTTTTTAATGTAGTTGTCATTGTTTAGCAGGCCTGAGCAGTCTTGAACCCGCTAGCCCCTGTGTATGTGGCTGCTTCTGTAACCGCTGAGCTATGGGCGCCGAGCCCGGTAATAGAGATTTTATTTGGGAAGAATAAAGAGAAAGTTTAGAGCACTTCCAAAGAGAATTCAAAGTGGGTCCCTCTCATGGAGGAGAAAACGTGAGAGAGAGGAGATGTAAAGGCCAGCAGGCATATAAATACTTTCTCCTTTTGAAATTGGCTACAAGTCTTTCATTGGCCTCTCTGCACTTCCCGGCAGTATTACCCTTTTCTATTGGTCATTGGTTACCTAGGTTACTTTCACAGCCACATTTTTGTGGACCTTACAGACTTTCTAGTTCAATAGGCCAGATTTTCTTTTCATCCCCCTTGAAACAACTTTCTTAGTGTCCCTTCTCATTAGCTATAATAGTGACATTTAGAGGTGAACATACCTTAAATACAAAGAAAAATTCAATCAAAATCATGACAGTTTTTTTTTTTAATTGTTGGGGATTCATTGAAGGTACAAGAAACCAGGTTACACATTTGTTAGGTAAAGTCTCTCTTACAGTTGTGCCTTTCCTGGCAGGTTTTTATCCCAGAAGTTAGCAAGCTTATTCTACAATTGATAAGGAAATACAGAATGCCAAGAATAGCCAATGCAGTCTTGAAAAAGAACAAATCTAGAGGCTTTAAGCTATTACATATCAAAATGTATGAACTGTAGTAGTTAAGACAATGTAATATTTTCATACAGATAAACTAACCATAGAACAAAAGACCACACACGTATAGAAACCTGATTTATGGTAAAGGTGTATTCCTCGATACCATAGGGAAAGGATGTTTGGAGTTTTTTTTCCTAGTGGAAAAAATAGTGTCACACAAGTTGAATATTCATACTGGGGGGGGGAGAATGTCCCCCCCCTTTTCCTTATATATATCAATATTGTTAGGGTAGAAAGCTCAGTATGTGCTCACAGGGTGAGAGTGATTTCTCTAGACAAAGATAAGGATAGAAAAGTAGATTTATTTTATCTTCTTAGAAAGAGAAGGGAGTAAGAGAGTGAAAGATGGCTTGGTGCCGTAGCACAGTGGTTATGGTGCCAGCCACATACACCAAGGCTAGTGGGTATCAACACAGCCTGGGCCAGCTAAACAACAATGACAGCTGCAATAAAAGATAGCTGGGTGTTGTGGCAGGTGCCTGTAGTCTCAGCTACTTAGGAGGCTGAGGCAAGAGAATTGCTTTAGCCCAGAAGTTTGAGGTTGCTGTGAGCTGTGACACTATGGCACTCTTACTGAGGGCAACATAGTGAGACTCTGTCTCAAGAAACAGACAGACAAAACAAAAAAAGAATGAAAGAGAAGGGGGAAGAAGAGAAAGACAAGAACAGGGAAATGGCATGGCATCCCAAAGAAGGAAGAATGCCCCCAGTGACATCAAGAGGCTGCCAAATTTAAGGGGAGCAAAGAAAAAAAAGTAATTGCACCAAATTCACAGGGTACTATGAATGCTATATCCAATTTTCTTCTAGCAGGATCATAAGCAACTGTCTTTTCTGTTGGAGATGGACTTTCCCCAGGAGTTTTT